AAATGTAAAAAGGGTTCACCTTTGAACTGTTCGCTGAGATCACCCTGGGTGCAGCATATGTATTGCCCAGGATAATCAGATTCCATGCACTGATATCCAATAGGGCATGTGTCCCTCAACGGTGAGCAGAACTGACGTTGATTCATAGCTGGAACAGTTTCTTATTTCTATCGTTGCATTAATTAATATCAATTTGGTGGATTTTTGATTGAAACAGCAACCCGTGATCTGTAAAGCAGGATTCCTGATCCGATCACAAAGTAAATCTACTTATTATAGGATAGTTACCCAGAGTCGTAGTAACTCACGAATTTTTTTGTAGAGCTTATGTCGCAAAGTTCGTGTGGCATTGGCCTGTGAATGGTGGACGAGGCAACCCACCAACCAAACCGCAGACGTGCTTGTGATTAGCGGGTTGTTTCGTTTCGACCAATGACAAGCGCCCCTCTCTCACAGAGAACTAATGATCCCATATTTAACTCTTATCCAAGATTGCTTACCAGGATCAACAAATGCAGAACCGCGCAGACATTGTGGCTGGGGGAGTTGTGGTTGAGTCATGAAGTTGCCTGTTGTACAGCAAAGATGGTACTGCGGGTTCATCGAAGCGACACATGCGAATCCATTAGGACATCTAAAATGAGTGAATTTTTGTCTGTGAAACGAATAGGTGAGAGTTAAAGCCTTCTTAATGACTAATATACTGAAGGAAACTCCACTCAAACGATCGCGCCGTGCTGCGACCGCACGCGTCTCGCGACGACCGCCACAACCACCTACAGTCATGATCCTTATGAACGATCTGACGGTGGGCATGGCTTGGAAGGGAGCCAGACCAGATCTGTCAGCAACGGAGCGGGCTGAGGATGCCATCACTGGATGGAAGTCCTGACTACGCTCCAATACGCGCCGCGTCACACGCCCTATCGCTTGCAAGGATCATAACTGTGTAATGGTGGGCATGTGTGTCGTGGATTGTTTAAGTAAAGAACTGCTTTAGTGAAGTAGATCATAAGGAAATCGATCCCACTTAGTACTTCCTGGTGGGCAGGCTAATGGTCGTCCACCATATTCAAATGCTGATGAGCCAGCTGGACAGCGAATCGATTCCGAATCACCGCAACATACTGCTTGACCAGTTGACGAGAATTCACATCTATATTTCAAATATTTTCCAATAGATACCATTATTACAATACTATATCTAATAATATTGAAAATATTTACTTGTATCCCGCTGGGCAGTTGCTGTTACCAAAGCTGCACTCCATCACATTTCCATCACTATTGAATGGTCGATCACCATTTTTGCATTTCGGTTGGGCCAAGGGACGGGCCATGATCTGCAGAGAATGAGAGTGTACATCGCCGGCTACTTACTGCTATCTCTGAGTACTCACATTGTTTCCTCCAGATGACGCTATAGCTCGAGGGCCATAAAGTTGGCAACAAGATTGATACTTTAGGAATATTGGATGTCATACATCGAGAATCACGTGGACAACCACCCAGATCCGTTTGGCAGATTTGTACCTCAAAAGTTTTCATAGTTTAAAATATGAAGAGCATTGAAAGACACCTTTCAGAGGTCCAAGCTAAAGATACGCCGTACATCCATCCCCGTTGATAAGGTCTGTTATGTGCAAGGTGAATAGGTCCGCAGCTATACAGGGGGCAAAAAAAGACACTTCGGCCGAGTCACATATCAGCAAAGTTTTCGCAGCCTCAGACAGAAGACGTGGATACGAGTACCAGGGCGGAAGATACCCAAGATG